AGATGTAATTTTATTACACAGATCTAGTTAATATGAATTGTTTCACCATGTCAAATGAGAAGTTATATATAATTTTTAAGCAAAATTCAAAGTAAAACTAATTTTTTTACAATTAAAAATTAGAAACGATAAATAGATTGTTCACATTTTGATGAAAAATTCGTGTAATGACTAGGTATGAATATAAGAATAGGTAATATGTATTTTTTAATTGAGTAAGAGATTGAAATTAGTATATATTTGTTGTGTTTTTGTCCCAATATTCATACTTCTCTTTATTCTGTTACTTTTTAAAATACTAAATAGTTATGGTTTATTAGATAATTGTGATATATATATATATATATATATATATATATATATATATATATATTCTTTTAGTAATTTGTTTTACTTACTTTTTTCTTGAATTCTTTTGATTGTTTGACTTATTTTATATTTATAAAATTTACATTTTTGTTTTCTTTGTATAGTTATAATAGTGTGTTAAATTTTAATGTATTATAACCTTTATAATTAGATAAAGGAAGTAACTATTTGAAGTATTTTTAAATTCAAATATTTGTTTTTTATAATCTTTTAATATTTTTTTAACTTTTTAAACATTATTTTATTAATGTTTTCAAAATTTATTAGATGATTTTTATGTTATAAATTTTTATTTATATATAATTGAGTAATAATTTATAGGATTCATTCATTTTTATTTAAGTTATATTATTATTATTTTTAAATATTTTAAATCGAATACATTCTTTTTTTGATATAGAATATTTAATAATATTATATTTCTTGTAAAAATTAATTAATTAATATCAAAACAATTAGAAAAACATTGAAATAATTAAAAAACATATGAGGACAAATATGAAAAAAAGTTTTCTATCTATTGAATATTAGAATAAAAAAGAATTTAAATTTTTTACGATGAATTTCTTATTCCCTTCCCCTGTCTCCAATAAAACCTTCTCTGTTCTCCCATTCTACCAGTAAAAGACAAGCACACCTTCATTTTCTGTACTGTTAGTTTACGAATAAACATTACCGATCCTAAAGATATGCAATCCGCACAACAAAATATAAATATACATGCAACCTAATGATTTTGTTTTAAATATATAATAGTTTCTGATTTTGTGTAATCTCTGATCTGATTTAAAGCCACAATTATTAGTAATCACCTTACAGATTTTAAAAAGAAACATTATTCTCCATAGAAACACCACCTTATCAATCTTATTCAATCCGAGAAAAAGGAACTAGAATCTAAGACGAGGGCTTCATTTCAGATATGATGGCATCAGCCAGCTGATCATGAGCTTCTTCCCACGCATTCTTCATTGCCTCTGACCACATTTCAGGCACTGCTTCTTTTACGGTCTCCAAAAGTGCCATTTTTGTTACCTTAACAAACCAAAACAATCAGAATGTACACATACCTCAAAATGCTCATGTTTTAAGAATATATACACATACCTCAAAATGCTCCGGTGCAACACCGGCTTTAAAATGAGAAGCACCTAATTTTTTCAAGTTTGATTCCCTCACAGTCACTTTACCAGCTTTCCTCAGTTGAGCAGCCGAGTCACAGGTCTGAAATAACAAAAACAACATGGCATGAAGTGATGATAAAGATGAAATGAATGAAGTGATAAAATTACCATGACAAAGACAGCCATGGCATGGGGCTTCAGCTTCGGGTTTTCCTCCAAAGGGACGTTAGAATCTTTCAAGAACGAGAACATTGGCCGAGCTGCAGGAGCAATCTCCAATATTCTAGACGTTAAATTCAAAGTCTAGTATCAGTCATGATAAGTTCAATTGTTGAAAAAGATGCAGTGAGTTGTACTAATTAGCAGTTCGTGATTGAAAAAGTTGAAGAAATTCGTGTAGCTTACTTTTTGAAGAACTTGACACTGTGTTCTCCAGCATTCTTCTTCATTGCTGCCCATGATTTGACCACAAGAGCTTCTTGCTCTTCTGTGAAAACTCTTCCTTCCATGTTTGTAAGTGGTGGTATGAGACTGTGATATGATAGAAGTGGTTGGTGTTGTGGCTTGCTTTTATAGACAGGTTCCTTCAAGATGAGGTTGCCCCTTCAATGCTATGGGTAGGCGTTTGTCTGGCACGTTCTTTGATTCTGATATTTTCAAGAAAAAAAAAAGTATCAATTAAAATATTAAATTAGTCATCAATTTTTATAAAGAGGAGTATTAAAATATGAGTCTATATTAATAACTAGTATTTGTACTCCTCAAACGCATAGGATTTTTAAAATTTATAATATAATTATTATATTAATTTGTGTTTACAAAAATATAATTACAATTTAATACAATATCTTATTATATAAAATTAAATAATAATATTTGTATTATTTTTATAAAGAGAATATATTTAAGATATTTATATATATTTTTTATAAAATGTATGGTATATAATTTTTTAAAACAATATATAGTCAATGATTATATTGTATAGACATATTCATCCGTAACGAGTGGACAAAATTATCATAAATGTATTAAAAACATCATCAGATCAATAAATAAACACATTTGTCTAATTGAAATTGTTAAACTTGTCTAAATAAGAGTGTAGATAAATTCGCTTAATCATAGTATGTACAAAGTTGTATATTAAGCATCTGTATTAAGTATTAATAGATTCATTTAATCAATACAAACAAACTTATATAACGTATACGACTAGATTCATCTAATTTTTGTATGGACAAAGTCATGTTGTGTTTGTTATTACTCATCTAATCGATGTATAAACAGACTCATGTATGAAGTTCGTCTAATATGTATTCATAGACTCATTTAATCATTATATGAATATATTCGTCTAATGTATATTGCTAGACTTGTCTAATCAATGTATGGGTAAACACGTTTTATGTATATTATTAGACGCGTCAAATCAGTATATTGACAAACTCGTCTAATGTGTGTTGATAGACTCGTATAATTATTGTATGGAAAAAGTATTCTGGTATGTATTCATAGACTTGTTTAATTAATGTATACTCGCCTAATATTATTAGTAGAAGTGCATTAAATGAAGAGCTTTAGATGTATGGTAGAAGTATCTTAATGCATCGTTTGGTAAGTTCACTCATATAGTATGATGGACTCAAACTTATATTGTTTGATTTTATATCATTTGATAAGTTATTTTGTATTGTCTGATCAATTCATTAGTGAGTCTTTTATTAGTTAGTTATTGAGTCATCTAGTGAATTTATTCTAGTATATTTTCTGATTAGTTTATTCTAGTATATGTTTGATAAGTTCATTATACTATATTATTTACGTATTAATTCGTCTAATGATTTTGCTTGTATCATCTTATCATGTATCATTTTTTGTATGAATCATATAGAACTTTATTTATTATTTATGTAATTTACTATTTATTTATTTTATTTATATTAATAATTTATCATGTATATTTATAATTATTATTATTATTATGGTTAAATATGTTTTTATCCTTAAACTATCATGCGATTTTAATTTTCGTCCCTCTTTGAAACTTTGATATATTTTCATCCTTCTCCTTTTAAAAAGTTCCAGATATAGTCTTCCACAACCAATAACATTAGTCTTCTTCTAACGTGGCTAACGATATATCACATAACATGTTGCATACTATAACATGTGGTTGTCATGTCATCATCTTCCCTACCAGAAACCCTAACACCATGAACCACCGTCAGCCACTGCCCATTGACACGAGCGACTACTTCACAAACCACCAAGAGTCCTCAATCGTGGTGAATCACGGCCACAACCCACTAATGTCGTTGGTCATAGAGGACTATATCTGAAACTTTTTAAAAGAAGTAAGATAAAAATAAATTAAAATTTTGAAGAAGGACGAAAACTAAAATCAGATAATAGTTTAGGAACCAAAAATATAGTTAACTTAATTATTATTTATATTCACTATTATTTTTTACAAATTTTTTCTTTATTCTTATTTATTTATATTTATATTATTTGTTACTATTTATTATATAATATATTATTTAGTGTAATTTATATTTATTATTATCAGTTAACATTTTTTATTATTTATTCTAAATTATTTTATTATATATTCATATGAAAGCACATCTTTAAGACATGGAGCATTAGGTATTCATACTTATCATTAAATTATACGAAAATGAAATATTTATTAGACTTGTGTGTCATAAGGAAATTATGTTTTATTAAATCTAAATATTTATTAAAATTTATTATGAATCATTTATTACTGGTTATTATCTATTATTCATACTAATTATCATTTATTATATAATTTATATTATTTATTATGAATTGTTTTATTATATATTTAAATGAAAACACATGTCTTTAAGACATGAAGCATTAGTTATTCAAACTACGATAAGTGAAATATTTATTAGACTTGTACGACATTAAAGAAATTATGCTTTTAGTAAATCTAAATATTTATTCTTATTTATTATAAATTACTTATATTTATTATACCATTTATATTATTTATTATCATTTAACTTCATTAGTAATTTCATCTTTAAATATATGTTTTTATTTCCTTTTATCCTTATATTTATTTTTTTAATTGAGTTTCTATTTTTTTCTTCAAAAAAATAATTGAGTTTTTATTTCAGTAAAAATATTCAATATGATTATTTTTGTTAAATAATATTAATTTCATTTGAAGATGTTACCTATCAAAATTTAAATATATCACATATTAAAATTTGTAATATTTACTACTTGCAAAGTGTTAGTGTCAAATTTAAAGAGATTCCGAAATAGAAAATCATTTGGATCTTAAAGTCACAAACTTAGATTTTTACACACAACACCTTCAAATAATGTTAATTATAATTTAATAAAAGTGGGTTACATTAATGAAATAAAAAATTTAAATATAGAAATTAAATTACAAACTTGTTGTTTATATTTATTATTATCAATTATTATTTATTATGATTTATTATATATTCATATATCAAAGCACATTTCTTTAGACCTGTATTCAAACACATCAATTAAGATTATACGATAATTAAATATTTATTAGACTCGTATGACATTAATGAAATTATGTTTTTTACTTAATCCAAACATGTATTCACATGTTTCAAATTGAGAACAAAAACAAAAGATAATAGAAAAAAAATATATATTTACAAACAAACAAAAACTTTATATACTTCTTCATTCACCTCCAAAACAATTTTGTTACAATTCTTTTATCCAAACATGAATAATTCCTTTTGAACCTTAGCATTTCCAGCATGATGTGTCTTCTGTCATGTTACGAGCTTCAACAGAAATAGGTCAAATCCCAACACATCTGTTCTTTCAAAAGACTGTCCATGTGACTTCCTGTAGTTACATGTGAATCCCTTTTATCTAAGACCTTGCTCCATTCCAACCATGGCTTTTAACGACAATCTCTGTGTGAGGATAAGGAAGAAGAGAAATTCACTAAAAGCAAGAGACATAGGAATTTAATATAAAAAATAATGTATTAAAGGAACAAGGAGAATAAACAGCATGAATTATGTTAACACACAATTTTAACATGCACTGAATTATATTATTGATCTCACCGAGAATGCAAGAGTGGTGACAAGATTTTAACGTAGTTTTAGAAATTCTTGTTAATTGGAAATGAGCTTTTTGTTATTGAGAAAAAAAGAAGTTTATCTCAAAAAGACTCTATGACATCTATGTTAGTAAGAGAGGTTAAAATTTTATGAATAGAATAAATATAAGTGTTTAAGAAGTGAATATTCCTTAAAAATAACATGAATCATAATTTATATTTTTATTGAAAATAATATTTATTTCAAAATTATGATATTAAATAGTTAAAATTAGTTATGATATATAAATATGATGAAATAAAAAATGAATTTGAACTGTATTATAATAAAAAAAAAACTTCAATGTGTTTTAGACTTAGGAACAATTCGTATAATATATATAGTATAGACTCAGAATAATATGCCATCAACTCAACTTTTATTAGAAGAAAAACAAAGTACAGACTAACACACTAATCGAATCATAAAGCACTTGTGTTAACAATATATTACACATCATATTAATAATATTTTCAAATTCAACGACCAATTAAACACGTGCATAATATTTCCATAATTCATGCGATGGCAGGGGTAGGACACGTGGCTTTTTCTGCCAAAATAAAGTAATGATTTCTTATTCATTCTGCAAAAATAAAGTAATGATTAGTGTTTGGACTTACTAATTAATTGTTTCATATTTGATTAATGTAATTATGGTTTTCTTAAAGATCTTTCATTCAAATCCTTAAAATGTAAAATCATTATTAAATTGTCGTGTTTATTCAAAATTTCTCCCATTTTCAAAATAAAGGATGAACTGCAACACCTACCAAAACCAAGACACTCAGCCACTGAATATAACATTTTCAAAAGCATATTGACAAAAGGTAGAACGAAGGAACAAAAGAAAGGGAGAAGAAAGTGAACTGATATACAATGCAGAGTACAAAAGCCATTGTCAACCACATCCATAGTTTATATCAGGAGTTGCAGCAACAGCTGAAAATGGAATTTCAACCCTCTCTTTCACTAGGCATCGCGCTTCCCCATTTTCCCACACCATTATTTTCCCAGGTGGACACTGAGTACTTGGTCTCTCACCCCCATTTTTAGTTGTAGATCTCTCCACATTTTCTACTCTGTGACGCCAGCCTTGCACGCTGAAACGTGTGCCTAACTTAGGCCCGAAACCAGACAAACTTAATATTGATACCACGCCAGCTACCGTGAGCATTGTTTTGGCTGCAGAAGTTATAAAAAATCCCAATCCTTTTCTCGAATTTTTAGCCCCATTTTCAACGAGATTTTGATCTTTTTCACGGAGATTCTTGTTGGTCTCAATCATTGGATCAAGCGTCATTAACCCATTGCGACCAGACTTGTTCACGGAAGGAATCTGCGAGAGATATTCCTTGTCCATAGACACAGAGTAGGGAGGGCGGCTAGGATATGGAGGAAGTAGTAGATCATTGCTGTGCTCCACTGTTTCACTAGCAAAAGTGGAAGCTTCATGTATCACTTCCAATTCCTTACCTTTGTACTCAGAGAGCTTGTCAATTAACATTTTGCGACTGTTTTCAATCTCAGCCAAGGCAATTTCTCTTTCATATCGCTGTTGTTGCTGCAGAACCTAAAAAAAGCACAACGATACATATGATTCGCAAAACTCTTATCTCAATCATAATTTGATTATTTTCTCATAGCAAAGCATAAAAATCATAAAACTTTAAAAATCATCTTACAAGCATTAATACAAGCTCAAAATAATAAATAAAATCATATTTTCGCAGCGTCACAAAGTAGGAAAGAGTGTGAAGGACTGATGGCATACTGATCACACACTTCCAAACTCCAACGAGTCAAGTTCCATTTCACATTGTGGATTTGCAAGGCCAAGAATGAAGAAACCATTAATTTAGAATGTAAATATGCAATGCAAGGGAAAACTGTATTTCTAACAAAGCACAAACGTAGACACACCATGTTTCCACAATAGTCAAAACAAACATCTAAATACAATCCGGGACAGTTTAGTTTGAGAAAATGCTTTCTGTTTTCNGTCTAATTGAAATTGTTAAACTTGTCTAAATAAGAGTGTAGATAAATTCGCTTAATCATAGTATGTACAAAGTTGTATATTAAGCATCTGTATTAAGTATTAATAGATTCATTTAATCAATACAAACAAACTTATATAACGTATACGACTAGATTCATCTAATTTTTGTATGGACAAAGTCATGTTGTGTTTGTTATTACTCATCTAATCGATGTATAAACAGACTCATGTATGAAGTTCGTCTAATATGTATTCATAGACTCATTTAATCATTATATGAATATATTCGTCTAATGTATATTGCTAGACTTGTCTAATCAATGTATGGGTAAACACGTTTTATGTATATTATTAGACGCGTCAAATCAGTATATTGACAAACTCGTCTAATGTGTGTTGATAGACTCGTATAATTATTGTATGGAAAAAGTATTCTGGTATGTATTCATAGACTTGTTTAATTAATGTATACTCGCCTAATATTATTAGTAGAAGTGCATTAAATGAAGAGCTTTAGATGTATGGTAGAAGTATCTTAATGCATCGTTTGGTAAGTTCACTCATATAGTATGATGGACTCAAACTTATATTGTTTGATTTTATATCATTTGATAAGTTATTTTGTATTGTATGATCAATTCATTAGTGAGTCTTTTATTAGTTAGTTATTGAGTCATCTAGTGAATTTATTCTAGTATATTTTCTGATTAGTTTATTCTAGTATATGTTTGATAAGTTCATTATACTATATTATTTACGTATTAATTCGTCTAATGATTTTGCTTGTATCATCTTATCATGTATCATTTTTTGTATGAATCATATAGAACTTTATTTATTATTTATGTAATTTACTATTTATTTATTTTATTTATATTAATAATTTATCATGTATATTTATAATTATTATTATTATTATGGTTAAATATGTTTTTATCCTTAAACTATCATGCGATTTTAATTTTCGTCCCTCTTTGAAACTTTGATATATTTTCATCCTTCTCCTTTTAAAAAGTTCCAGATATAGTCTTCCACAACCAATAACATTAGTCTTATTCTAACGTGGCTAACGATATATCACATAACATGTTGCATACTATAACATGTGGTTGTCATGTCATCATCTTCCCTACCAGAAACCCTAACACCATGAACCACCGTCAGCCACTGCCCATTGACACGAGCGACTACTTCACAAACCACCAAGAGTCCTCAATCGTGGTGAATCACGGCCACAACCCACTAATGTCGTTGGTCATAGAGGACTATATCTGAAACTTTTTAAAAGAAGTAAGATAAAAATAAATTAAAATTTTGAAGAAGGACGAAAACTAAAATCAGATAATAGTTTAGGAACCAAAAATATAGTTAACTTAATTATTATTTATATTCACTATTATTTTTTACAAATTTTTTCTTTATTCTTATTTATTTATATTTATATTATTTGTTACTATTTATTATATAATATATTATTTAGTGTAATTTATATTTATTATTATCAGTTAACATTTTTTATTATTTATTCTAAATTATTTTATTATATATTCATATGAAAGCACATCTTTAAGACATGGAGCATTAGGTATTCATACTTATCATTAAATTATACGAAAATGAAATATTTATTAGACTTGTGTGTCATAAGGAAATTATGTTTTATTAAATCTAAATATTTATTAAAATTTATTATGAATCATTTATTACTGGTTATTATCTATTATTCATACTAATTATCATTTATTATATAATTTATATTATTTATTATGAATTGTTTTATTATATATTTAAATGAAAACACATGTCTTTAAGACATGAAGCATTAGTTATTCAAACTACGATAAGTGAAATATTTATTAGACTTGTACGACATTAAAGAAATTATGCTTTTAGTAAATCTAAATATTTATTCTTATTTATTATAAATTACTTATATTTATTATACCATTTATATTATTTATTATCATTTAACTTCATTAGTAATTTCATCTTTAAATATATGTTTTTATTTCCTTTTATCCTTATATTTATTTTTTTAATTGAGTTTCTATTTTTTTCTTCAAAAAAATAATTGAGTTTTTATTTCAGTAAAAATATTCAATATGATTATTTTTGTTAAATAATATTAATTTCATTTGAAGATGTTACCTATCAAAATTTAAATATATCACATATTAAAATTTGTAATATTTACTACTTGCAAAGTGTTAGTGTCAAATTTAAAGAGATTCCGAAATAGAAAATCATTTGGATCTTAAAGTCACAAACTTAGATTTTTACACACAACACCTTCAAATAATGTTAATTATAATTTAATAAAAGTGGGTTACATTAATGAAATAAAAAATTTAAATATAGAAATTAAATTACAAACTTGTTGTTTATATTTATTATTATCAATTATTATTTATTATGATTTATTATATATTCATATATCAAAGCACATTTCTTTAGACCTGTATTCAAACACATCAATTAAGATTATACGATAATTAAATATTTATTAGACTCGTATGACATTAATGAAATTATGTTTTTAACTTAATCCAAACATGTATTCACATGTTTCAAATTGAGAACAAAAACAAAAGATAATAGAAAAAAAATATATATTTACAAACAAACAAAAACTTTATATACTTCTTCATTCACCTCCAAAACAATTTTGTTACAATTCTTTTATCCAAACATGAATAATTCCTTTTGAACCTTAGCATTTCCAGCATGATGTGTCTTCTGTCATGTTACGAGCTTCAACAGAAATAGGTCAAATCCCAACACATCTGTTCTTTCAAAAGACTGTCCATGTGACTTCCTGTAGTTACATGTGAATCCCTTTTATCTAAGACCTTGCTCCATTCCAACCATGGCTTTTAACGACAATCTCTGTGTGAGGATAAGGAAGAAGAGAAATTCACTAAAAGCAAGAGACATAGGAATTTAATATAAAAAATAATGTATTAAAGGAACAAGGAGAATAAACAGCATGAATTATGTTAACACACAATTTTAACATGCACTGAATTATATTATTGATCTCACCGAGAATGCAAGAGTGGTGACAAGATTTTAACGTAGTTTTAGAAATTCTTGTTAATTGGAAATGAGCTTTTTGTTATTGAGAAAAAAAGAAGTTTATCTCAAAAAGACTCTATGACATCTATGTTAGTAAGAGAGGTTAAAATTTTATGAATAGAATAAATATAAGTGTTTAAGAAGTGAATATTCCTTAAAAATAACATGAATCATAATTTATATTTTTATTGAAAATAATATTTATTTCAAAATTATGATATTAAATAGTTAAAATTAGTTATGATATATAAATATGATGAAATAAAAAATGAATTTGAACTGTATTATAATAAAAAAAAAACTTCAATGTGTTTTAGACTTAGGAACAATTCGTATAATATATATAGTATAGACTCAGAATAATATGCCATCAACTCAACTTTTATTAGAAGAAAAACAAAGTACAGACTAACACACTAATCGAATCATAAAGCACTTGTGTTAACAATATATTACACATCATATTAATAATATTTTCAAATTCAACGACCAATTAAACACGTGCATAATATTTCCATAATTCATGCGATGGCAGGGGTAGGACACGTGGCTTTTTCTGCCAAAATAAAGTAATGATTTCTTATTCATTCTGCAAAAATAAAGTAATGATTAGTGTTTGGACTTACTAATTAATTGTTTCATATTTGATTAATGTAATTATGGTTTTCTTAAAGATCTTTCATTCAAATCCTTAAAATGTAAAATCATTATTAAATTGTCGTGTTTATTCAAAATTTCTCCCATTTTCAAAATAAAGGATGAACTGCAACACCTACCAAAACCAAGACACTCAGCCACTGAATATAACATTTTCAAAAGCATATTGACAAAAGGTAGAACGAAGGAACAAAAGAAAGGGAGAAGAAAGTGAACTGATATACAATGCAGAGTACAAAAGCCATTGTCAACCACATCCATAGTTTATATCAGGAGTTGCAGCAACAGCTGAAAATGGAATTTCAACCCTCTCTTTCACTAGGCATCGCGCTTCCCCATTTTCCCACACCATTATTTTCCCAGGTGGACACTGAGTACTTGGTCTCTCACCCCCATTTTTAGTTGTAGATCTCTCCACATTTTCTACTCTGTGACGCCAGCCTTGCACGCTGAAACGTGTGCCTAACTTAGGCCCGAAACCAGACAAACTTAATATTGATACCACGCCAGCTACCGTGAGCATTGTTTTGGCTGCAGAAGTTATAAAAAATCCCAATCCTTTTCTCGAATTTTTAGCCCCATTTTCAACGAGATTTTGATCTTTTTCACGGAGATTCTTGTTGGTCTCAATCATTGGATCAAGCGTCATTAACCCATTGCGACCAGACTTGTTCACGGAAGGAATCTGCGAGAGATATTCCTTGTCCATAGACACAGAGTAGGGAGGGCGGCTAGGATATGGAGGAAGTAGTAGATCATTGCTGTGCTCCACTGTTTCACTAGCAAAAGTGGAAGCTTCATGTATCACTTCCAATTCCTTACCTTTGTACTCAGAGAGCTTGTCAATTAACATTTTGCGACTGTTTTCAATCTCAGCCAAGGCAATTTCTCTTTCATATCGCTGTTGTTGCTGCAGAACCTAAAAAAAGCACAACGATACATATGATTCGCAAAACTCTTATCTCAATCATAATTTGATTATTTTCTCATAGCAAAGCATAAAAATCATAAAACTTTAAAAATCATCTTACAAGCATTAATACAAGCTCAAAATAATAAATAAAATCATATTTTCGCAGCGTCACAAAGTAGGAAAGAGTGTGAAGGACTGATGGCATACTGATCACACACTTCCAAACTCCAACGAGTCAAGTTCCATTTCACATTGTGGATTTGCAAGGCCAAGAATGAAGAAACCATTAATTTAGAATGTAAATATGCAATGCAAGGGAAAACTGTATTTCTAACAAAGCACAAACGTAGACACACCATGTTTCCACAATAGTCAAAACAAACATCTAAATACAATCCGGGACAGTTTAGTTTGAGAAAATGCTTTCTGTTTTCAGTTTTCATTACAAAAAATACCAATTTACTTATTATTTTCAAGGGTCTGCATAAAACTAATGAAAAGGTGTATTCATTCATTAGTAAGGTGGTATTTTCTCAATCCATGAAGCACCTCAACACCTAGACTGCAAATACACTGCAGATACCTGTGGTGACAGTTAACCACAGGCGTTACTGAACTTGAACATGTACAGTTAACCACTTTGGTCACAAAAATGGAGTTTATTGGCATTTGATTATCGACAAGAATGAACAAAAGCCGGTAAGCTACAAAACTTCCATAACGTACCAAGACCACCACTCAAATCTCGAACTCACTAACTGAGGCAGCAGAAAATCAAATACCCAACCAACAAGCTATGAAAAACAAATACAATCTAGGATATCCCACAATTCCCAACCGCCAAAAAAGCCCCAAATAAAAATAAAGAAAAGAAAAGAAACCTAATTTTGAAATATGGCACCTGCAAAGAAGAAAGTTGGGTCTCCAAGGCTTCAAGGGCATCGCAAATGTTGAGAAGGCGCTCGGTGGCTTCTTCATCGTCGTCGTCGGCGTGCGGCGTGGGACCATTGGCGGTGTCGGTTCTGTGGATGCAATTGGTGATTTTCAATCGAAGTTCTGTGGCTCTGGCCAACACTAACCCTATGCCTTCCTCTTCCATTCTCCTCTTTCTCTCTCTCCCTCTGTCTCTCTGTCTCTCTTTGTTTATTTCCTTTGTTCGGTTCTTTTCTACCCTAAATTCAATGCTTGTAATTTCAATTTCAATTTCATAATATTAATTTTGTGAATTTCAAAGAGAAAAAGAAAAGTTTGACATGAAATCCAAACCCGCCAAATGCTTTCCAGTGGTGGGGATTGTGATCCAGTGATTCTGGTGCGCCAGAGAGAAAGAAAATCTACGCTCATTAACTTTTGCGCTTTTGTCAAACTTCCCAAACAGACAAACATTAATATCAAAACTTTTTTTATCATTTCCACAAATTACTTTTCAATTTTCATCTCTTTTCTTTTATTTAATTTATTTCAGTGTGTTAAAATACTAATTTATTACCCTGTTAACCACCTATATATATATATATATATATATATATATATATATATATATATTACTATTTGCACAAATGTCTAGAAAAATTTAGGGTTTATAAAAGTATAAGATGAAAATTGGATTGGATGGATTTAGGGAATTTTTCTTTTAAAAGTAGTATTCTTTCACCTTTTGGATTGCCGTGGGGCTATGATTCTCTAACCTGTTCGTGAAATATAGTAGAAATTATTAGCAAAATATCTCCTAAGAAACAAAAGAAAATGTGATGAGTTGGAAAGAATATTTCAACAGAAAAATTATATTACCAAGTAGGAAAATGATACTTGAACAACCATTTTTGACAATATTTAGACACGCGCACACGTGTCAAAATCTGAGTGGTCCAGTTGGAAAAATTAAATGAAAATGGACCACTCAGATTTTGACACGTGTGCGCGTGTCTAAATGTTGTCAAAAATGGTTGTTGAAGTATCATTTTCCTACCAAGTAATAAAAAATAACTACTTTTCAAAGATTATTAATTCATAAAAAATTATTGTTGTAGAATCTTTATATAACCCTTACCGAATTCTTATCCTTATTTAACCTTTACCTAAGTTTTAGGTTGAATTCTTATAATTCTCCTATTAATTAGTTCTTCTATTTATATATTAGTTATTTTATTGATTTTTAAGTAAAGTGGAATTTCATACTCATATTTATTGATGTTTTTTTGTTTACATATTAGTTATTTAATTTAATTTTTTATGAGTTGTGAGATTTCAGACGATGAATCCTAACAATTTTTTCTTCAATTAGTTTTTCGATCATTTTTACTTAAATATATTAGTCTTTTTAACGTGGGAGTTCAAATTCAAATTGAATACTAAAAATTTCCATTTATGAGTCTTTCGACTTATATATATCATCTTACTTATTTTAACCATTAATCTTTAACTTAAAACCTTCTCTTTTTTACATATTTTCATATTAGTCATTTTTACCCTTATGCAGTTCCAAAACTCATATTTAATACTAACGACATTCTTATCAATATGTTTATGGTTCTTAACATTTTCTTGAAGATCATAGGATACATTTTCATGTCTATCAACATAAATTAAGTTGGTGATTAGATATATTTGTATTCATAGCTTTCACCATAAAAGAGTGAAATAACTACTTGTAAGATATTTTCTTCTATTCTACAGACCTTGACTCTTATACTGTTGTAGGGAGTTTTATAAAATATTTATAATATCTTAATCTTGATTTTATAATTCTAAAATAAGAACTAATTTCTAAAACTAAAATGTTTCTTAAAAATTAATTTAAATAAAAAATATTAAGTAAATATTCTAAAAAAACTTCAATATAAACTCTCATTTTCTTCTTAACTAGAGCTTTCTAAATCTTTTGTTACCAAACTCACTATATAATGTATTTTTATAATTTATTTCATACTTATGAACAGTGAATATTCAGTAAATGTTTTGGGGTGTCAAATTTCTATAAGGATACAAAATTTTTGAAAATGTTAAATATATAAAATATCATAAAATACAAAAGATAATAATACTAGTGAAAGAGAAGACTATAAAATAAAATACACAGTATAATTTTTTTTTATGTTATTTAAACAATTGACATTCCCGACAATTAGTTTCAACTATTCTGAAGAATCTAATTATAAGGTGAGTTGTAATTTGTAATCATGAATTATTGTCGTATTTAGAAGCTTGTTTTGATTTGAGAGAGAAAAGAGGTTTCAGATAAAGAGGATCAAATGTGAGAGGCACGTGCACCTTGATTTCCATTTTTTTTATATGCATGCATGAAGGAGCGTGAATTAAAATGCAAAACCAAGCATACAATACCATCATCATCACATAAATACAATGTTTTGATGTTTTTGAAAAAAATCAATTTTGTTTTTCCCAAAGTTTTTAATGGTATTATTAGCCTTTTGTTTTTGGCCAAGAACAATACTTACATTTTCAAAAGCAATAGTCAGTAGCAATGGTAATTAGGCCCCTGAGAGTGAGAGATGCTCTAGTATACCGTGACCATGTGCAGGCTATAAAATCCGGTTTGGTATCAAGCATTTTCACTTGTAATCAACTCATTCATCTTTATTCCAACCATGGCCTTTTGCAAGAGGCCCACAAACTGTTCGATGAAATTCCCCACCCCAATGTGTTCTCTTGGAATGTCATAATTATGGCTTACATAAAAGCACACAACTTGCCTCACGCACAAGCTCTTTTTGACTCAGCCTCTCACAGAGATTTGGTTTCTTATAATTCCATGTTGTCGGCTTATGTTGGCTCCGATGGGTACGAGACTGAGGCACTTGATTTGTTTACTAGAATGCAATCTGCACGTGACACAATTGGGATTGATGAGTTCACTCTCACGACCATTCTTAACCTTGCTGCCAAACTACGTGTGCTGCTTTATGGGAAGCAGATGCATTCATATATGGTGAAAACTGCAAATGATTTAAGTAAGTTTTCTTTGAGTTCTCTCATAGACATGTACTCTAAATGTGGTTCGTTTCAAGATGCATGTACTGCATTTAGCGGTTGTGATGGGATGGTGGACTTAATTTCAAAGAATGCAATGGTTGCAGCTTGTTGTAGGGAAAAAAAGATGACCATGGCCCTAAATATATTTTGGAAAAATCCTGAATTAAATGATACTGTGTCTTGGAATACATTAATTGCAGGGTACGCCCAGAACGGCTATGCGGAGAAATCACTTACCTTGTTTGTTGTGATGACTGAAAATGGTATTGGTTTCAACGAACACACTTTAGCAAGTGTTTTGAGTGCTTGCACAGGTCTAAAATGTGTAAAGCTTGGCAAATCTGTTCATGCTTGGGTTTTGAAAAGTGGTTACAGTTCAAATAAATTTATTAGCAGTGGCATTATCGACTTCTACTCTAAGTGTGGGAATATCAGATATGCCGAGTTAGTCAATGCAGAAATTGAGATTAAAAGTCCATTTTCAGTTGCTTCATTGATAGCAGGCTACTCATCTCAAGGTAACATGGAAGAAGCCCAAAGGCTTTTTGATTCACTCTTGGAAAGAAACTCAGTTGTATGGACAGCTCTATGTTCTGGCTATGTCAAATCACAACAATGTGAGGAAGTCTTCAAACTTTTCAAAGAGTTTTTAACTAAAGAAGCAGTAGTCCCTGATACAGCGATCATTATCAGTGTGCTTGGTGCCTGTGCCATACAAGCTACCCTTAGTTTGGGAAAGGAAAGTCATGCTTACATCTTGAGAATGAGATTTCATGTGGATAAGAAATTACTGAGTGCTTTGATTGATATGTACTCAAAATGTGGAAATGTTACTTATGCTGAGAAAATCTTCCAACTGGTTACTGATAGTGATAGAGATGCAATCTTATACAATATCATGATTGCTGGTTATGCTCATCATGGTTATGAAAATAAAGCAATTTATCTTTTTCAGGAAATGCTGAATAAAAGTGTCAAGCCAGATGCAGTCACTTTTATTGCTCTTCTATCAGCTTGTCGGCACAGTGGATTAGTTGAACTAGGAGAGCAATTTTTTATTTCCATGGAACAAGATTACAATGTATTGCCGGATATTTACCACTATGCATGTATGGTTGATATGTATGGAAGGGCTAATAAACTAGAAAAGTCAGTAGAATTCATGAGGAAGATTCCCATACCAATAGATGCTACAATCTGGGGTGCATTTCTTAATGCTTGTCAGATGAGCAGTGATACAGCACTTGTCAAACGGGCAGAAGAGGAGCTATTAAAAGTTGAAGCAGATAACGGGTCTAGATATGTGCAGTTGGCCAATGCCTATGCTGCCACAGGGAAGTGGGATGAGATGGGAAGAATAAGAAAGAAAATGAGAGGATACGAGGCTAAGAAGCTTGCTGGTTGCAGTTGGATATTTGTGGAAAATGGTATTCATGTATTTACTTCTGGTGATACATCTCATTCAAAAGCAGATGCAATATATTCAACTTTAATGCGCTTGAATGGGAAACTGTATTTATCTTTCGTAGAGCTGAATCAACTTAATGAAATTCAGGCTGGTATTTAGGATATACTTTGATGGTTAACTAGCCAATGCCACTAAAATTGGATGCTCTGCCGCATAAGGATCATAGAGCCACCATCCAATGCAGCATGCTTATAGATAGTATTTGCAGTAGTCAATAGGAATTATAATACTACAACAAAAACGGTTGGAAGACTATTTTCTTCATGAAAGTGCATTTGATGATTTCGAAGAGGTGCATTTGATGACATGTCCTCCTTACATACAAATATTTGATGTTGTCACATCCTATTCTATCCTATCACAGTAAAATCATGGCAAATGAAGTAAAGAGCAAAACAGCTGTAAGTTGGCCTGATGAGATGACTTGGTAAATTCACTGTCGGGATTCAAACTATTTATGGAGATACATGTCGAGAGAATTTATTCCTTTTGAGTTGAAGTTTTGGTAGATTACAGATTCTGTGAAGGCAGTTATTCAAGGTGGAAAAGGTGGTGCTCTACAATCTACACGACCAACTGTCTCATATTTGGTGGCACATGGAACATAATGAAGGATTAATGCTCCGTGATTATGAAACTCCGTGGTGATTCCACCCTGGTGTGTTGGTGCTGCTATGGGTGATCTGAAGCGTGGGAATGGAAACAAAGAAACATGTCTTGAATTCCTGTGCTCTATTTCGGTTTTCAAGCATGTGAGGAGCTAAGACAAAACCAGCTCTGTGATTGCCGCTGTAGTTGATTGTTGAGTTTTGGTTTTGCTGCTGTTTTGTGGAGACGACGTTCTTTAGGTATGAAGTCCAGATTCCAACAACACTATCAAGGCAGAGGTGGATCCTTGCAGGGGAAAGATAAGCAGTTTGAAGATAAAAGGACCCTTTTGCAACCATGACACACAGCAAGAGTCCATCCTTCTCCTTGTGCAGTTTTTCTGCGCCTTCAAGTCAAGTATTTAGGAAGGACTTGGGAGTTTGCATGACTCCTCGGAAATATTTTAGATACAGTTGATCTGTTATATTCATGGTTTGTTAAGAATTCAGTAATCTGTCTACCACTAGAGTAAATGTATTAATTCCTCAAAGAAAAATCGGGAATTTATGCTCCTATCCAGATAACTTTAATTTGTAGCAACAATTGAAATTTAAACTTATATATTTAGTATCTCAAATTTGGGATTAGATCGTTTTTATTCTCAAAATTTAAAATTGAACTTTAGTTTATGTAATTTGAAAAAAAAAAATGTTTTATTCTCTGTCCAAAACATAACTCATGGTTTCACTTGGTTAATAAATTACAACTTGTTACTTGATAAACTATTTTGGTTCTACATTCTTGCCATCAATAACTCTTTCCCATTGAAAGCGTTTTAAGTACAAAGCATTTGGTATTGAAATAAAAAAAGTTTTTGTATGTCAAATTATAGAGATTAAAATGATCAATTTTAAATTTGAAGGATCGAAAACAAACTTATCATGAACTTGAATGAATAAAAAAAATGCTTGAGTGTTAAAATCTAAATTTTTTTTAGAGTTAATGATTTTCTTTTCAGTCATTCTCTCGTTATCTTTCATGCTGTTTGACCAAAAGGCAATAAGAATGTGCTTTAGAATTGCTGTGCTGGGTGTCAATAATGATTTCTGCTGAGCAGACACAGAAAAAGTATCCAGGATTGAAATATCATACTAAGCTGATGTCGATGAAAAGAATCAAGAATATACATCCATTAACTGAAAAGGACCTTAAGATAGGGAGTTATGAAGCAAAAATTAGTTAAACCTTTGCTTTCTATCTGAAGTACATCTTTCTCTGCTTCGTATTCCCACCTTAGTGACTCACCATCCTTGGTTTAATATCTTCACGGATATAACGCAGGCAACTATTATTCACCTGTTATGTTTTGAAGCAGACAAATTTGCTTCTTGCTCGTTACACCTGTGCTTACCACCAAATGCAAGTTTTGGATAGACAGATGATTATTCTACCCACACAAGTACATGAATCCTACCGAGGAATGTCATTACCAAGCTAATTCCTTTGAAATCAAGTAATGGAAAGTGAAGTTATGAGGAGTTAATTCAATGTTTTTCAAGCTTGACTTTGAATGAAACTCTTGAATGCTCTTCCTTTGAGAATCGGGTAGATAAGGCTTAATCATCTCCATCAAATCAGATGCTCCTCGACCTGAATTTTTTGCAAAGGAATCAACCATCTTTGGGAGAACTACTTTCTGTTCTTTGCTTATGGTGATGTTGGACTGAATGTATTCCTCTTTGGCACATTGTAGCTCTTCAAATACTCTCTTAGGTGTGTACAAACGAACCTGAGAAGGTTGCAACAAGGACCAGGTGAATTTATGAGAAAATGACCGATAAAAGGGGTTTCTTTAAAGCAGGAGGCTGTGAAAGCTACATATATGTCAAGTACAGAATCTTATGTGCTATTTATAACCTTAACCTAAGAAAAAGGCAAGAATTTCTGAAAACTTTCACTAATCCAAATAAATTTATTCTAACCTATCAATGTTTCAATTTGGTAATTACATCTTAAGATACAGAATTTTCTGTTTCCTTGAGTTAGGTGAATACAACAAAAATTGTAGGTGAACGTATCCTTTTACTTAAAAATACAGAAAGACCAGAAGTCTACCGCAGGATCAGAATGGCTTCCTGTGCAAAGAGCAAATAGTAATAAAGGTTCTGGACGATGTATTGCATATCCTTTTCTTGCATCTCTAACCTTTGGTTTTGTCATTGAAGGAAACCACAACCGCAGCCACTAGTAGAAAAAGAAAGGTGCAATACTGAGTTAAGAAAAGCATACGGACGACAGTTTGATCTATGCCAAACTTGTTTGGTTATTGTGTAAAATGAAATATGCAGTCTTCTTTGAGGCTTCTGGAAATCAGATTTACCTGTCCTGGGCGAGGCATTCTGCATCCCAGAATGAAGTTCTGTATCTGGTCTACGCTTATAGTATGTCCACCAATGTTATACGCAGCCTGAATATCCTAGCTTATTTTAGTAAATGTCACATACCAGTCAATTCCATGGAGTTTTATGAACGAGAAACTTACCTTTAGTACTGAAGACATTCTCTTAACANTCAGTGTGCTTGGTGCCTGTGCCATACAAGCTACCCTTAGTTTGGGAAAGGAAAGTCATGCTTACATCTTGAGAATGAGATTTCATGTGGATAAGAAATTACTGAGTGCTTTGATTGATATGTACTCAAAATGTGGAAATGTTACTTATGCTGAGAAAATCTTCCAACTGGTTACTGATAGTGATAGAGATGCAATCTTATACAATATCATGATTGCTGGTTATGCTCATCATGGTTATGAAAATAAAGCAATTTATCTTTTTCAGGAAATGCTGAATAAAAGTGTCAAGCCAGATGCAGTCACTTTTATTGCTCTTCTATCAGCTTGTCGGCACAGTGGATTAGTTGAACTAGGAGAGCAATTTTTTATTTCCATGGAACAAGATTACAATGTATTGCCGGATATTTACCACTATGCATGTATGGTTGATATGTATGGAAGGGCTAATAAACTAGAAAAGACAGTAGAATTCATGAGGAAGATTCCCATACCAATAGATGCTACAATCTGGGGTGCATTTCTTAATGCTTGTCAGATGAGCAGTGATACAGCACTTGTCAAACGGGCAGAAGAGGAGCTATTAAAAGTTGAAGCAGATAACGGGTCTAGATATGTGCAGTTGGCCAATGCCTATGCTGCCACAGGGAAGTGGGATGAGATGGGAAGAATAAGAAAGAAAATGAGAGGATACGAGGCTAAGAAGCTTGCTGGTTGCAGTTGGATATTTGTGGAAAATGGTATTCATGTATTTACTTCTGGTGATACATCTCATTCAAAAGCAGATGAAATATATTCAACTTTAATGCGCTTGAATGGGAAACTGTATTTATCTTTCGTAGAGCTGAATCAACTTAATGAAATTCAGGCTGGTATTTAGGATATACTTTGATGGTTAACTAGCCAATGCCACTAAAATTGGATGCTCTGCCGCATAAGGATCATAGAGCCACCATCCAATGCAGCATGCTTATAGATAGTATTTGCAGTAGTCAATAGGAATTATAATACTACAACAAAAACGGTTGGAAGACTATTTTCTTCATGAAAGTGCATTTGATGATTTCGAAGAGGTGCATTTGATGACATGTCCTCCTTACATACAAATATTTGATGTTGTCACATCCTATTCTATCCTATCACAGTAAAATCATGGCAAATGAAGTAAAGAGCAAAACAGCTGTAAGTTGGCCTGATGAGATGACTTGGTAAATTCACTGTCGGGATTCAAACTATTTATGGAGATACATGTCGAGAGAATTTATTCCTTTTGAGTTGAAGTTTTGGTAGATTACAGATTCTGTGAAGGCAGTTATTCAAGGTGGAAAAGGTGGTGCTCTACAATCTACACGACCAACTGTCTCATATTTGGTGGCACATGGAACATAATGAAGGATTAATGCTCCGTGATTATGAAACTCCGTGGTGATTCCACCCTGGTGTGTTGGTGCTGCTATGGGTGATCTGAAGCGTGGGAATGGAAACAAAGAAACATGTCTTGAATTCCTGTGCTCTATTTCGGTTTTCAAGCATGTGAGGAGCTAAGACAAAACCAGCTCTGTGATTGCCGCTGTAGTTGATTGTTGAGTTTTGGTTTTGCTGCTGTTTTGTGGAGACGACGTTCTTTAGGTATGAAGTCCAGATTCCAACAACACTATCAAGGCAGAGGTGGATCCTTGCAGGGGAAAGATAAGCAGTTTGAAGATAAAAGGACCCTTTTGCAACCATGACACACAGCAAGAGTCCATCCTTCTCCTTGTGCAGTTTTTCTGCGCCTTCAAGTCAAGTATTTAGGAAGGACTTGGGAGTTTGCATGACTCCTCGGAAATATTTTAGATACAGTTGATCTGTTATATTCATGGTTTGTTAAGAATTCAGTAATCTGTCTACCACTAGAGTAAATGTATTAATTCCTCAAAGAAAAATCGGGAATTTATGCTCCTATCCAGATAACTTTAATTTGTAGCAACAATTGAAATTTAAACTTATATATTTAGTATCTCAAATTTGGGATTAGATCGTTTTTATTCTCAAAATTTAAAATTGAACTTTAGTTTATGTAATTTGAAAAAAAAAAATGTTTTATTCTCTGTCCAAAACATAACTCATGGTTTCACTTGGTTAATAAATTACAACTTGTTACTTGATAAACTATTTTGGTTCTACATTCTTGCCATCAATAACTCTTTCCCATTGAAAGCGTTTTAAGTACAAAGCATTTGGTATTGAAATAAAAAAAGTTTTTGTATGTCAAATTATAGAGATTAAAATGATCAATTTTAAATTTGAAGAATCGAAAACAAACTTATCATGAACTTGAATGAATAAAAAAAATGCTTGAGTGTTAAAATCTAAATTTTTTTTAGAGTTAATGATTTTCTTTTCAGTCATTCTCTCGTTATCTTTCATGCTGTTTGACCAAAAGGCAATAAGAATGTGCTTTAGAATTGCTGTGCTGGGTGTCAATAATGATTTCTGCTGAGCAGACACAGAAAAAGTATCCAGGATTGAAATATCATACTAAGCTGATGTCGATGAAAAGAATCAAGAATATACATCCATTAACTGAAAAGGACCTTAAGATAGGGAGTTATGAAGCAAAAATTAGTTAAACCTTTGCTTTCTATCTGAAGTACATCTTTCTCTGCTTCGTATTCCCACCTTAGTGACTCACCATCCTTGGTTTAATATCTTCACGGATATAACGCAGGCAACTATTATTCACCTGTTATGTTTTGAAGCAGACAAATTTGCTTCTTGCTCGTTACACCTGTGCTTACCACCAAATGCAAGTTTTGGATAGACAGATGATTATTCTACCCACACAAGTACATGAATCCTACCGAGGAATGTCATTACCAAGCTAATTCCTTTGAAATCAAGTAATGGAAAGTGAAGTTATGAGGAGTTAATTCAATGTTTTTCAAGCTTGACTTTGAATGAAACTCTTGAATGCTCTTCCTTTGAGAATCGGGTAGATAAGGCTTAATCATCTCCATCAAATCAGATGCTCCTCGACCTGAATTTTTTGCAAAGGAATCAACCATCTTTGGGAGAACTACTTTCTGTTCTTTGCTTATGGTGATGTTGGACTGAATGTATTCCTCTTTGGCACATTGTAGCTCTTCAAATACTCTCTTAGGTGTGTACAAACGAACCTGAGAAGGTTGCAACAAGGACCAGGTGAATTTATGAGAAAATGACCGATAAAAGGGGTTTCTTTAAAGCAGGAGGCTGTGAAAGCTACATATATGTCAAGTACAGAATCTTATGTGCTATTTATAACCTTAACCTAAGAAAAAGGCAAGAATTTCTGAAAACTTTCACTAATCCAAATAAATTTATTCTAACCTATAAATGTTTCAATTTGGTAATTACATCTTAAGATAAAGAATTTTCTGTTTCCTTGAGTTAGGTGAATACAACAAAAATTGTAGGTGAACGTATCCTTTTACTTAAAAATACAGAAAGACCAGAAGTCTACCGCAGGATCAGAATGGCTTCCTGTGCAAAGAGCAAATAGTAATAAAGGTTCTGGACGATGTATTGCATATCCTTTTCTTGCATCTCTAACCTTTGGTTTTGTCATTGAAGGAAACCACAACCGCAGCCACTAGTAGAAAAAGAAAGGTGCAATACTGAGTTAAGAAAAGCATACGGACGACAGTTTGATCTATGCCAAACTTGTTTGGTTATTGTGTAAAATGAAATATGCAGTCTTCTTTGAGGCTTCTGGAAATCAGATTTACCTGTCCTGGGCGAGGCATTCTGCATCCCAGAATGAAGTTCTGTATCTGGTCTACGCTTATAGTATGTCCACCAATGTTATACGCAGCCTGAATATCCTAGCTTATTTTAGTAAATGTCACATACCAGTCAATTCCATGGAGTTTTATGAACGAGAAACTTACCTTTAGTACTGAAGACATTCTCTTAACATTGTTGGCTGAAATTCCATAAACTAACAAGGCCTGTGGAGGAAAGCGAGGAGGATGAAAATGGTTCTGATTTGGAGCAATAACATGCACGAGATAAAAAACAAAAATTAAGAGATTCAGAAATTTTACATGCATTGCTAAGGAATTGTGCACATTAATCCAAAAGGAAAGCTTTTCTTCATGCCTCATATTTCTAGGATTAACGTCTTCCAGCCGAGAAACAAGTGACCTGCAAGAAAGTAGGATATGATGTTGTTCTTCCAGACAAAAGAAATCATCTAACCAAATTTGCATACCACAGTTGATAACTTCAATATTCAAGGTAAAAAATGTAATGTGTAGCTTCATCATCCAACTAGTAGATTATTTAGAAGAGAAACTTTGAATCTAAATAAAATATGATAAAAAGCATTATGCACTATAAGATGGCTCACCTAAATCTCCGTAGCATGTATTCAATTTCTTTTAATTTCTGATTATCTGTGCACAATTTCTGTATCCTTGTCATTGAGCAATAAGGTTCGCTAAATTCTTTGCACCCCCTGACATGGAAAGGGTTAGTGGAGTTTAGATTGAAGGATGAGTGTTTCTTCCATTGTGATCCCCACTTACTACCCTGGCTCTGTGAAGATAACTCGTTACCAAAAGATGAGTACGAAATAGGGGATGAAGCATTTTTATGATCAAGAGAAGGTGGTTCTGCAAGTTCACAATATATAGCTGATATGCACTTAATCATCTCCTCAGAAAGCCAATTGGGTGTTTCTGGAACGTAATCAACATAGCTACTCCCAAGATGCTCGGCCAGACTTGTTGAACTGAATTTAGCAAACTGAGTTTGCTGCTGAAATAAAATTTGGAAGCCGGATATTAGAGAATGCTGCATAACAAATAAAAGGATGTAACCAGTTTTCTGGTTTTCATTATACTTACCTCCAACATGGATAATGGCAGAGAATGGTAAGAGTCAACTACAGCTTTGGATTCAATGTTCCCAGGAGAAGCTTCAATTGAGCATGCTGTTCGTTGAGATAGTGCAGAGTGACATCGATGAATACTAGAGTCCAAGACAGTTTCTGATTCTAACTGGTTATTGCATTCCTTAAGGCGAAAGCCAACAGAATTTCTGGGTGAAATGACATTACTACAGTTCACAGCAGAAATTTCTTTGTCAGAAATAGCACCATTGCTGGGCACTGCAGATATTACTTTATTTGTGTCTGAAGCTAATTCCAATCTTCTCTCCTTAGGTGATAAAGATGAAATTTGTTGATCAAATCTTTTCCGATACAAAGAGAGTAGGTATTGTTCCAAATACACAACTTCTAATTCTAATATTCCAATTTCCTGAATCAGTTCCTTTGCAGCCTAAAATTACATAAGAGATGTATATAATGGATAGTCAGAAGCAAGACCCAAAAATTTCAACTGAGAAAGTAAAAACTGTACATGTATGTAACTGTACCTTGGGTATTGCATTTTCTAATGCAGCATCCTGTGAAAAAGGCAGATAACGTGCTTTCTCTAATGCGCGCCTTATCACGAATTGTTGCTGTAATCGTTTTTGAAGCTGCAGAATCTTCAGAGATATAAAAACTATAGATTATGAAAAGCTATGTACCAAATGCACATAAATACAATGAATACTGCATTATTTAACTATAGGTTTATCTAAGCCATGTATAAAAAGGAGAATTCCAATCATTGCCTTCAATATTACTGTTATTCTTACTAGAAATGTCTCCACAAAAAGAACTGTGCTGTCATAAGCCTACTACTAGCTGATTGTATAGTGACAACTTAATTATCAGTCAAGATTTGTACCTCTTGAGTCAAAGAGCTTTGAAGATCAATATTATTGTATTGCCTCGTCTTGGATTCAATGCTGTGTTTTAGTTTCCCCAGTTCCTTTTTCTGATATAAAAGAAAGAGAAAATTACTAAGTTAAAAGTATTAGCTTCTATGTGCTGAAAATCATTCTTCTATAAGAATGCTAAAAACTGCGCTAATAAAGGAATGGAAAATGCTCTCTATATAATGCTCAAAAATATTCATCAAGAAGGTAAATGTGGTATGAGAGAAAAGGAGAGATACCAGTTCAGGACGATAAGAAGCTTCACTGATGTTCTCTAATCCATCTGCCATGACTCTTCTTTTCATTGGGTCACTGCCAAACAGTAAACAAAAATATCAAAATAGGAAGCAGAGAATGTCATCATTACAGTTAACATGGTCCTGTTAGCCTGCAAAACCAATGAAAAAAGCTTCCTCATAAGACCTGTTTTGGCAAGGAGGTGAAACAAATAGAAGGTTGAACCTGAGTTTTTTAAAATACTTATTAGAAAATACATAAAAACAAACAAATTTAAATTCCTTCAATCTTACATAAAGCTTCTATTTCATAATTACCCTTATCTTCAAATCTAAGCATCATTCTCAATAAAATTAATTGAAGGAAATTTAGGAAATATACATCTTTATTGTATAAAAACAAGAATATTAAATGAAGTTTAAGTATGAAAATAGTTAATTTCGATTATAATTGAGTCCAGAGGGAATATTAACTCTTGGGTTGATTTAGTGTTACGATCTTGTGAACAAAGTAAGATTACCTATATTTAATGGCATAAATCTGAAGAAGCCAAAGTTCTGGATAACTTGAAGAACCATTATTTGGTTAAAAAATGAATGTACTGAAGAAGAAGAAGAAGAAGAAGAAGAAGAAGAAGAAGAAGAAGAAGAAGAAGAAGAAGAAGAAGAAGAAGAAGAAGAAGAAGAAGAAGAAGAAGGAGAAGAAAAAGATGTGTGGCGCTGCAACTCGGTCTTCAATTTATTTGGTTTAGAAAGACAAAAGTTGGTGAAATGAGAAAGTGACAACAAATACTGAAAAAAGAAAGAAGAGAAAATGTCGAAAGTAGGAAAGAATTGTGTCTGGAAAAACCTGTTGGAGCGCTTGTGACTTGAAATTGAAACAGTTGGGTCCATGAGCTTGAATTGCTTGAAAACAGAATCGCGCCACTCTATTCCATGCATGTTAGTGTCAGATTGGCTTAAACACTGTCAATGAATGCACCAAAAATCATTAATGCCACACACACACAAGGACCAGATATTGACAAAGTTTCATAAATGTAAGGTCAAAATGGCAAGATACATCCAAAATGCATTAATTTAAAGCATAGCTGCGCTTACAAGCAGCAGAATCTCCTCTCTGATGGAATGCGACTTCTCGCCCAGTGAAGCTTTTTCAAAGCTGAATCGATTTGGTGGTTCAAAATCCAAACAGCCTCTCAGTTATATCTATTTCAATTCCAAAAACATATTCTTTTTTTCATATATACGTCTGGTATATGTTATTCTCAACCACTATGGTACAAATACAAGAAGGGTATACTTGTGTTGTACTGCTGTTGACAAACAATCTATGAAGAACATATGACCACCTTTTTTTAATTTTTGACCAACCCACCCTTTTTTGATAAAGATGTTGTGGTTTTTACATTTCATCAAAAGAAGAAAAATCAAGTCATAGCTTTTGTAGAATGTATTCCAAAGTAAAACTTAGGGATTACAAAAGAATGATATGACAAGAAACATGGAGGCAAACTGAGATATGTGTATCGCAGAATATGTAATCAACAATGATGCAAATATGTTGCATGCATGTCAAAAGGCACTCCAACTTTGAAGCTTTTGTGCTGGTTGGCTTTATGCACTGCATTAAAAGAATCACATAAGTTTAGTTTTTTCCTTTATCTCATAGCAGTGTCTAAAAGCTGAGACCTTCACCATTTAGAATAGAGCATAGTGACAAAAACACAGACTGTGATTAAGATGGCAGTTTGTTGGACAATGGACTTACATAATGCATCACCGCACAGTTCCATCCACTCGTGCACTTGGTCTCTTTTCTATGCCATTCCAAGGGCAAACTCCCATGTGATACATCTCACAAATCATTTACCATCATTTGGTTGAAATGGTAAAAGTTTAGTGTTCTTGAAGTTTGATCAACTCATATTAATTTCCTTCTTAATCCTTATACTTGATTAAAAAAATGGATTTAACCAGACAGTATATCTCTTGGTTTAAAGTGAAACATGACCCCTAATTGTTTATACTAAACTAAGACAAATGTTACCTACTAATTAGACAACCTGCCACTATCCTCCTATTACAATGAGAGGTGAAACCACTTGGTAATAACTTCACTACCTAATCATGAAAGTGTTTAGTCTAATTTGGTAGCATTACAACTTGTCTTAAAAATTATAATATAGAGTTAAATATGTTTTTATTTCTCAAATTGGAAAGTAATATTGAAATTTGTTAATGTCTTTAACTTTGATACATTTTTGTTTTAAAAACTTTACAAATAAATTGATATATAGTCCTCTTAACCCAAGATGTTAAATGGTATTTTAGACTGAATTTAAGCTGAAATATATCAAAGATATAGATAGACAACTCAAATATTCAGTCTACCAATTCTAATTTTGCATCAAAGTTTAGGAACTAAAATCATATTTAAAATAATAAACAAGCATGACTAGGACATGCTTAATTACTAAATTATAGAAGTTTGAATATACTGTTACATAACTTACAGATAAATTTGAGGATGCTGTGATAACTTTTATGCCACGTATTTAGAGTGATGGCTTAATGACCCCTCCACTAGGCGATGCTACCAACGCCAGGGAAGGTTGAAGAAGAAAGCACAGTGAGTTTGGTGACTTGGAATAAAAAGGAAAACGCACTTATAGAAAAGCAGCCTCAAAAGGGCTGAAAGTTTATTGTCAAAGGAAGAAGCAGAGTATGTTTTTCTATATGAGGTGACTGGTTTTGGTGGGCTGTCTTTTGTCTAATTTCATGGAGAAACTTGGATACAACCAATCTTTGCATTGTCAATGACTTTGGTGGGAAAAAGTGCCATGCCTTTTCTCATTGGAGAGGGTGCTATACACGTAGGGAAGAACAGCATAAAATAATGTCTCTACATCTCTGCTTACAATAATGGTACAGATATATGTCATCTGCATAGTGAAATGTGTAACATAATTTTAAACATTGCCAGAATAATGCCCTTTGATGAACAATACCTTTTTTTTTTGCCATCTTTTGACCATAACTTCAAAGATGGAAAAAAGTTCTGCACTAGTTTACACTGCAGTATGTCTTGGAGATTCACCTGACATATACAAACACCAATCAGATTTAAGCCCAACCATATAAGGAACTGACATCATTCTCTATTCAAAAAGTAAGATAATGAGTTAATAGATTTCTCATTTTTATATAATGTTCTACTTTCTCACTTTTATCAATGTGAGACTTAAACTCACACTGGATTTTGAATACCTGAGTCAATCATCTATACCAAATATTGTTACCTTAGTATAAAAATTCTGTCACGATTATCCTTAAAAAATATCTAAAATATGAAAAAAAGAATGAGTATTTAAATTACTTAGATCTCGATTTTTAAGCTATATAAAACTATTAGATGTGATAAGATTAACTTTTATTTACAATGTCGAATTCTTGATATGAAACAAATTTATCATGTATTATTGGAAAGATAAGGAGTACATGATCATTATGTCCATTTTTTTTTATGAAATTACACTCTATGTATGATTTTCTTTTTAGATTTTTTATATATATTAGTGAGGGAAAGGTGGCTGAAATATAACAGTAGAGTGGTTTGCAACAGCAGCTGAGGGATAAAAAAAACTGAAAAGAATTGTAAAAAGAAAATCTCAATGTTATTTAGCACAGATATCTGTGATTGAATAAAAAAAAACATTTTATATTTTAAGTGCATGTGTTAATTTTTTTTTATTTTTCTTGTACCCCAACGAGCAAAGGTAAAAATAAAAAAATCTGTTATTGTTTTCAATTCCATTTGTTCTGTTTCGGGTCTTGCAACTTCAACTCTGACTCACTTTTTGATATTTCACTAAGTTTTTAAGTACTTTGTAGTTTGACTTGTGGCTTGGTTAAACCTGCAGAACCAAGCTCTTCTATTCTTTTCTCTGTGTGGCAGTCTCCAATATGAGTTTCTGACAACAATCAAAGCAACAAGATTAGTTAATTACTTAGAAAAATTAATCTGTCTTATGGAGCAAAACATTACACTGTCAATTTTTCAATGGAGACTGACAGACATCCTTGTGACTTCTATAATTATATTATTACTCCAATAAACCGTATCAGTTCAACAGTTTTTTTCAATGATCCAGAACGAACCAAAATCTACTAATTTCAAGACCTCAGAATTAGTGAAAACTTTACCTATTAATGTGTCATCAGATAAGACACAGGCAACTTGTTAGTACACAAAATTTAGAACATAAACTTTTACGTATTGTTGAATTTCAAATGAAAACTGAGTTTAAATTTTCATTAAAAAAATTATAAAATTTTCCTTGGTAAAAAATATTTTAAAGACACCAATTAACTATAGGATAATATGATTTGTTGAAAAAAATTTTTATTTTACTCTTTCGGATCAGGGTATGGTCTTAGATCATAGTCAAACACTCACTCAACTCGTCTCTGAATTCTAAAAGTGTCTTCCAAGCTTAAGTTGTGTTTTTCTTCACTCTTCCTTACTATTTATTCAAGTCGTGCGGACATGTACATGTCAAAGACACTCCGCTCAAGTCAGTAATATGAAGGTTCGATTAATACAATAAAGTTTTAAATTCACAATAAATCCAATCATCTATTTCTTTAACCTCAAATTTGTATTTATAAATTTCGGGATAAACTTACATTATAGCATAGGCCTAATTACAATCCAATAATCGATAAGCATATTTTCACATGTAAACTCAATTATTAGTGAAGCTTAAGGATTTGAATGACCAGCCGGTTGTTGAAGTAATAAGACTAGAAAGTATTTTAACGACAATCAACTACAACACACCCAATAATCATCTAGATAAACATTGATCAGACATTCAGTCTATTTACATAATAAATTAAATATTATCCTTCGTCTTATATTTGTCCAACAAAAATTAATTCATAACATCACTTGTTCATTTAATACTTTTAAATAATGTGGTGTTTTACTTATATTCTTTTGTAATTCTCAAATATTTTGATACACTTACTACTAATGATAAAGAAAACGATATATCAAAAGGTTAAGAATAATTTTAAGATACTCTGTGAACAACCTACTAAAATGGACAATTAACAAGAAAAAAAATAAAAAATAAAAAATAATTTTGTCAAGAGATTAAAAAATTTAGTGGAAGGTGAGAAACTCATAGGAAAATGTAAAATTTAAGATGAGTATTGGCACATAGATCAATATGAAAATTGATAGATGAATCATTTATTAGGGTTTGTGTTTAAATGCATGAAGTAAGGAGTGAGAAGTGATGCAGCATTGATGGTAGTAAAAGGAACCAATGCATGCACATTGGGGTTGCTAACATTTAATAGTGTTGTCAGAACTAACCGAAGTTTCTTCTTATTTCCAACAAAACAAAGAAAACAGAATCTTGTAGCGTTGAGATTGATGAGACAGTAATATGTTTGGCATCAATTTTCTTCTCACTATTACTATCTTATACTCTCTTTTCTATAATACTTTTTTTTTTCAGTCAAAGAAAACTATTTTTTCTTATTTTAATGTATGTTTATGTGTTATTGTATTTCCTGTGGGGAAGCATGATTATTTTTCTCTCCCCATACTAATTAACTAAAAATACCTTACCTTTTAACCATTTTCCCTGAACCCCTCTACCGAACAAACTTTTGTTACCAACTAGACCATGAAACACAACTGAACCAGACCATATATTTATACCCGCCATTTGCACTTTAGATCTACTTGGTCCTTATTTACTTGATAATTCATCTTAATCTTATTTTCTATGTATATACGCGTGTTATTAAATGTAGTCGTATTAAACTTTTATTTTATTTTGCTTCACCTATTATTATTTTTATTGTCATTTAACAAGTAAACTTCAAATACAAGTAGAAGTTATCTGGATTTACACCAACTAATATTGTTGATTGAGTTTATTTAAGATTAAGAAACATATTTTATAAATTTGAGTGTTTACAAATCAAAAGTTTCTGAATGGTATGATGTAGAAGTTATTTTTATTTCTAGATTACACTGTTCAAAGAAAGACTGATTTATTTTTTTGGAGTGCAAGAAGAAACTTATGAGGAGGAAACTTCCTTTGAATACTTATGCCAGTTCTTGCTAGTGCCCTACCCATTCCATGCCATGTTATTATAGACAACAAAATGGTTTTTCCCATTAATTATTAAACTTAAGAAAAATTTAAATAAGTTTCTAAGATTTCGTTTTAATTTCACAAAATTAATCAATTCTTTCATTTAAATAGTAATGATAAATTATGTTTAGACGTCAAAATAGAAGAATAATTGAATAATTTTAAAGATTTAAATAAAACTCTACAAATTTCTAAAAACTA